CCTCTGCGCGCCGCCAACCATCCACCAGAGAGCGATGGAAAAAGTGCGCTTGCGCCGAACTTCGCGCGTGAGCTGCTGGCGTGTGGTCGCCAGTAAGCGCCCCCCCTCTCTTCCACGCAGCCTGCCGCTCTTGGCGGCCTGCAGGAGCCATATCGCGTAAGGCCGCTACGGCATAACGCGCAAGACTGAAGTCGGGCATGTCCCTCTACAGGAGGAATATTCGAACATAGTCAAAAAAATTGTCTGTGGACGATGTTTCAACGATTTCTGCACTAGTTTAGAATATGTTCTGAATTGTTTTTGCTCTCGTCAAAAATCCGCCTGTAGGAGGACATGCCCGACCTAACGCAAGACCCATTTTTCCTTTGTCGCTCGCCTGGCCCTAGCTGGGCATGGACGCTTGTCCGCAGTGCTGATGCGCGCGGCGCTGAGGCGAGAGCCCCATCTTGAAAACGACGCCTTTCCATCCTTTTAGATGTTGGAAGCGTCAAGCTGTACAGTCGGGGCCCTGAAGAAGGAACCCTTTTTGTTGGGGAGGGGCTCCGTGTTCCTTAGTTGCTTTACAGTGTTCCTTGGGTTTTCCTGAGGTTTTCCATGGAACATTGGAGTTTAACTTATGGGGAAAAGGGGTCTCGTTCCTTACTTATCGTTCCTTAGGTCAACGCCCCGGCTGTAGGATCTCAGATGGTGAGGACGTCTCAGGCCAAGCGCCCAGCCCGCTCTATCGACACGACCGGTCGTGCGACAGAGAGCAGGAAACCACCAGGGAAGGTGATGAAGGAGGAGGGAGGAGGAACAGGATGAGGAGGAGGAGGAGGAGGAGGAGGAGGAGGAGGAGGGAAAGAGAGGAAGTAGGAGAGGAGGAGGAGGAGGAGGAGGAGGAGGAGGGGACGACGAGGAGGAGGAGGAGGAGGGCGAGGACGAGGAGGAGGAGGAGGAGGAGGAGAAGACAGGAGGAGGAGGGTGTGATGATAGGAGGGAGGAGGAGGAGGAGGAGGAGAGGAGGAGGAGGAGGTGGAGGAGGAGGAGGAGGGAGGAGGAGGAGGAGAAGGAGGCAGGAGACAGGAAGAGGAGGAGGAGGAGGAGCAGGAGGAGGAGGAGGAGGAGGAGGAGGAGGAGGAGGAGGGGGGGGAAGAGGAGGATCGAGGAGGAGAGAGAATAGGAGGAAGGGAGAGGAGAAGGAGGAGGAGGGGGAGGAAAAGGAGGAGGAGAAGGATGAGGAGGAGCAGGAGGAGAAGGAGGAGGAGGAGGAGGAGGAAGGAGTGAGTGATTGAGTGAGTGAGCGAGTGAATGAACGAGTGAGCGAGTGAAAACAATAACGATGCGATCCCGTGCCTTCGACCGAGCCGCCCCCTGAGCTCCTGGTCGCAGGCGACGAGCCAAAGGACGTAGAAGAGGTAAACAACTGGAGCCCGAGGAAATGCGACCAGGAAGTCCACGCTGCACGCGAGGCGTGACATGAACCCCAAGCCGCCGATACCTCGAATGAATGCCTCCTTGCACACAAAGAATAACAACTGGCCAAGCAGAAACAAATTCAAATCGATACGGCCCACTGCCATGGTGATAACACCACTGGCCATCGGGCAACATCGTATTCCGCACAGGCAGAGCAGCGTCGCACGGCTCCAACTCGAGATCGTCTCCTCCACAAACTGCTACTCCGACTGCCAGTACTAAATGAGCAATCTTATTCCTCCAGACCTGCCTGCACCTGTAACTTGAATATAATGCCACGACGCTATGCGTGTCATTGAGATGAAGCCTCCCAGAACAAATTCCATAAAAAAGAGCCGCCGCCTGGGTGGGATTTATATGGGCTCGAGGCCCCCGTGCCCCCTGGTTGCGGACGGGATACCGATGAAGACGTGCAGGGAGAGCACCCAAAGAACTCCTAAATTGAGTGACGTTAGTTTAAAAATTGGAGTACATGAGAGACACTACGCTTCCACGAAAACCCGAATCCAATAAAATAAAATAATAATAATAATAATATATGAGAGAGAAAAAAAATAATCAAAAAAAAAAAAAAAAAAAAAAAAACGCCCAGGAAGTGGTGGTTGAGGCCACCCCAAACCATGAGATGGATGCTGATCAGCGCGCTCAGAAAAGAACCCAAACTCGCATTGACCAGCGAAAACTGCCTGGCGGCAACTTCGCCCAGACCTCGCCAACGCCCGCCAGAATGGAGGCGAACTCCAGCCCTGGGACGTGCCCGTCAAGCGCGCCACGCGGAGGCACCGGGCGCGACCCGGGAGGGAGCAGGGAGGAGGATCCAGGAGGCGTCCCCCCTCGCCGAGGCTTCGACCCCGCGACCAGGGCGTGGTCGGCCACCCCGCCCATGCGGACGCCCCGCATCCAGGCGACCCGTCGCGCGCGCGCGCGCCGGCAGTCGTGGAGCGCCCACGTCGCCGATTTCCCGACCACGACGACGACGACGGCGAGGAGGAGGAGCAGGAGAAGGAGGACAAGTGCAAACTCAAGACTCATCAAAGATGTTGCAATAAACCCTCCCTCCAAGTTTCCTCTTCACAGGTCCCAACAAGGGTTCATTATCACTGAGGGGAGTGCCCCGTTGGAAGACAACCGTCTGACAATGCTGATCCGTGCCAGAACACCCTTCCTGGAACCTCAACGCCGCGAATCAACGTAACTGTTGCGTCCTGACGATCCTGAATCGTGCCAGAGCACCACTCCTGGGACTTCAACACCGCGAATCAGTGTAACCGTTGCGCCCTGACAGTCCTACATTTTGCCAAAACACAATTTGGGGGAGGTCAAGCATAACAAGATTTGAAACTGCTGCGAACTCTTGAGACGAATGTGCGCGGCACTACGGCGAGAGCCACATTTTGAAAAGGTACCGACCTCCACCCGTAGAACTCTTGTAACTGTTTAAGACGAATGTGCGCGGCGCTACGGCGAGAGTCACATTTTGAACACGGCCCGCCCTCCATCCGTGAAACCTCTGCAAACTTTCAAGACGAATGTGCGCGGCGCCAAGGCGACAGCCAAATGTTGAAAACCACCCGCCATCCATCTGTGAAACTGCTGCAGGAGTCTCAGGCGACACGCCTGGCCCGCCCTACCGACGCGTCTCCGGGTGCGACAGGGAAGAGTTATTCACACAGAAAGCGGATGGAGGAGGAGGAGGAGGAGGAGGAGGACGACGACGACGACGACGACAACGACGACGACGACGACGAGGACGAGGGCGGGGACTAGGGCGACGACGGCGAGCGAGGCACGAGGTTCTGGGGACCTTCGGACACGCCCGGGAGAACCCCCCAAAGGCCCTCGGGGGAGGAGAAGGAGGAAGAGGGAGGAGGAAGAGACCCCCGGGAGAGGAGGAAGGGAGGCCGACGACGACGAGTTCCCTGGCCGCTTTCTGAGGTTTCCAGCGGTACTCTGATGTGTGACCAGAGGTATGCGGACGTTCTCGATCTATTCCGCGAGCTTCTGGAGGAGGAAACGAACGCAGACCCCCGACGTCGTAATTTATTTGCAACGTGGATCCCCAGAATGTTGGATCCCTTCCCCAGGACCAGCCTTTCATCCTTAGTCGTTTCTTTACAGTCCCAGGGACCTGTAAGGACCCCCAGAGAGCAGATTGCCAGAGACTGCCCGTCATGCTCTCATTCACGGCACGAGGGAGCCTAGGGAGTAGAGGAAGAGGAAGAGGAAGAGGAAGAAAAGGAGCAGGAGGAGGAGGGCCCTGTTTGTTTTGCATTACTATGAAGAGGAAGCACGCTGCGTCTGGAAGCGAAGGGCCAGGGAAGCGCGATACGGAGGCACCGAGCCGGCGGCCTTGTGAAGAGGCCGAAGGAAGCATGAGACAGGCGGGAATTTTCGAGGAGAAAGAGAGGGAGGAGGAGGAGCAGGAGGAGAAGGAGCAGGGAGGGAGGAGGAGGAGGAGGAGGAGGAGGAGGAGGAGGAGGAGGAGGAGGAGGAGGCGGAGGAGGAGGAGGAGGGAGGAGGAGGGAGGAGGAGGAGGAGGAGGAGAGGAGAGGAGGGAGGAGGAGGAGGAGGAGGAGGAGGAGGAGGAGGAGGAGGGATGGAGGAGGAGAGGGCAGGAGGGAGGAGGAGGAGGGAGGAGGAGGAGGAGGAGGAGGAGGAGGCAGGAGGAGGAGGAGGAGGAGATGGAGATGGAGGAGGAGGAAAAAGTGTTGCTTCGCCAGCGTGGCTCCTGCACCAGAGCACAGGCAGAGGAGCGGCGCCCCGCTCCGAGAGGGCCCTGGGGCCCCGGCTGCTCCGCGGCAGGGGCCCCGGCTGCAGCGGTCTCGGCCCCCGGTGGGAGCCGAGGCAGACACGCCCAGGCAGGGCCCGTCCTGCTTCGCAGGGCCCGCCGGGAGCGGCTCGGCCGGCGCCGCCTCGGGCGGCGCCTCCGACGGCGCCTCGGCGGCGGCGGCGGGCGCCGCGGCCTGCGGCGGTCGGCCGCTCGGCTCGTCGCCGGTCGGCCGCTCGCCGCTGCTCGGCGCGCCGCGGCTCGGCGCGCCGCTGCCCAGGGGAGGCAGACAGTCGAAGGAGAAGAAAAAGGCTGACCCACGGTCGAAGAAGAAGAAGAAGAAGGCTGACCCACGGTCGAAGAAGAAGAAAAGGCTGACCCACGGTCGAAGAAGAAGAAAAGGCTGGCCCACGCCAGACGCGCCGACAGGCTGACCCACAGTCGAAGAAGAAGAAAATCGGCATCAGCACCGGCGTCTGGCGCTCCGCGCGGACCGTCGAAGGTTTATGTTTCAGCCGCTTTTTTGTCTGATTCTACACAAGGGGGGTCAGAATAATCGCGTGAGACAAACGCGGAGCCTGAATCCTGCATTCCCGAATTCTGGCCCTCCTCCTGCTTCCGCAGACTGGCGCGAGGCCGCAGCGTGCTGATCGGCAGGGGACGGCAGATCGGGACCAGAAGAGGCGAGTTGGGAGGAGGAGGAGGAGGAGGAGGAGGAGGAGGAGGAGGAGGGCCCTGAATCCTTGTTCTCATCCTCGCTGGTTTCCGCGGCGAGAGAGAAGGGCGCGACCTGCACAGACGGCAGCGCAGGGTGCTTACCAGAGCCCAGTTGCTTCCCAGGTCCAACACGCAAGCATAGAGACAGGCTTCCGAAGACAATCCCCATTGAAGTTGCGAACCTGACCACCAGCCGCTGCGGCAAAACATTTAGTGCGTGAGAATGAGGAGGAGGATGTGAGGAGAAGGGAGAGGAGGAGGAGGAGGAGGAGGAGGAGGAGGAGGAGGAGGAGGAGGAGGAGGAGGAGGAAAAAGAGGAGGCGAATCTAGCACTGATCTAGCACTTCGACGAGCCAGGAATCAGCGAACCAACTAACGCTCGAGCGAGGACGCACCACCTATCCCTAGGACGTCCCTGGGCGATGAGGCGGGGCGACAGGTCAAGTTGTTGAGCTGAAGCTGACGTTGCCGTCACAGCTCCCTTGCGGGCTTGCCGTCCAAGCTCGCACCCCCTGCCATGTCGCCGCCCTCTACAGACCGTGCCGCCACTGCCTGCCTTCTCGCACGAACCGCTCCCAGCGTTGTAGCTGATGCTACTCGGCTCCTGCTGCTCCATCTGGTGGGGAGGTGGGGACTGAGGTTGATGGTCCGCCTGCTGCCTGCTGCCCTTCTCGCTTGCACCACTCTCAGCGTTGTAGCTGATGTGTCGCCCACTGCCGCCCTTCTCGCATGAACTACTCCCAGCGTTATATAGCTGATGTGTCGCTCATTGCCGCCCTTCTCGCGTGAAGCTGAAAGTGTCTACCCACGCCTTGCTCCTCGTATCGACAACGCCTGCGGCCAGTACTTGCCCTTCTCGCACGCTGTAGCCGATGACTGCCGGCGCCGCCGAGCCTGCCACGTCTCGCCCCGCCCCCACAGTGCAGGCAGCCATTGCCCGCTCTTCTCGCGTGCGCCCACTCCAGCGCTGCAGCGGATGACGTCTGAGCGCGGTGCCCACACTGCGCCAGCACCATTGCCTGCGTTCTTGCTTGCGCCGACCCTACGGCTGCAGCAGATGGCGTCGAGGTGCGGTGCCGGCCATACGTTTGTTCCATTGCTTGCTTTCGCGCAAGGCTTGCTTCCTGCACTGTAACTGATCCTCTCCGACACGCCCGTTCTGGCACTGTCAGCGTCTGCTGCCACTGCCTGCCCTCTCGCATGAGCGAATCCTTGCAATGTGGCTGACTAGGGCCGACCTGCGGACTACCGTCCACGACTGCTAATGTATTGGGAGGGCGCATGCCGCTGTGCAGTGCTTCAGGGCGAGCTGGGTGCTCGATGATCCTGTCGGCGCCGGGAGCAGCGTTTGCAGCAGCATCGGATATGGCAGCATCGGCAGTAAGCCGAGAGGGGGGTGGAGCGACGTGACTGGCAAACGACGGCAGCCACTGTGCAGAGGGAGCCGTGGGCAACGAGGAGAAGGAGGTCGAGCAAGGGAGTACAACCTGTATGGAAAAACCATACCCCGCGCCTCCTGGAACACGCGCCGTGCGGGAGTAGTCCCAGAAAAAGCGTTCCGGGTCGTTGGCGGCTCGGTCTGAAAGGTTTTTCGGCTATCCCCTTCCAGCCCAAGAGGGCCCCAAGAGGGCCCCAAGAAAGCTCCAAAGGGGCCCCAAGACTGTTCCGGAGGGCCGCAAGAGGGCCCCAAGTGAGCCCCCCAGGGCTCCAGACGCGGGGGCAAGTCGTCTAGGGCTCTCAGGGGGCCCTCAGCCCCCATAGGACCCCCTCAGGGGGACCCAAGACTGCCCCAAGAGGGTTTGAAAAAGGCCCAAGAATTTGTCACGAGAAGGGGCCGTCTTCGCGACAGGTCGTGGGCCCCTCTGGGAGCCCCAAGATGGCCTCAAGAGGGCCCCAAGAAAGCTCCAAAGGAGCCCCAAGACAGCTCCAAGAGAGGAGGGAGTCCACCCGTGAGTCAAAAACCATACCCCGCACCTCCCGAGGACGCCTCTTCCTCGGAGGGCTCGCCAGAAATTCGTCCGGGCCGCTCCGCGGCACCCAGGGACGCTTTTTTCTGAGGCCTCTAAGAGGCTGGAGTGGGGTTGGAATCGTTCGATGCTCGTTTCGGGGACCCTCCTGGAGCCCACCGAACGGATCTGTTCGACCCCAGTTCGACTCAGGTTCGACTCAAGTTCGACTCAAGTTCGACTCAGGTTCGACTCAGGTTCGACTCAGGTTCGACTCAGGGTCGACCCACATCGACTGACGTTCGACGCAGCGTCGACGCACGAGTGGAGCGAGTGGCTCCAGGAAGGTCCCCAGAACGAGCATCCAAGAATCGGATCGAAAAAAACATACCCCACACCTCTTGGGACACGTGCCGTGCGAGAGGGGCCCCCTGCCGCGCGAGAGGTGTCCCAAGAGGTGTGGTGTGTGGGTTT